TTTACATCGGAAAACGTCGGGTTTTCCGGGGGAACAACATTATTCACTTTCACTTTCGATAACTATAATGCAAGAATTCATACTACTTTTACATTTTTTGAACTCATTCACGCATATACTTATGGATCATCACACCTATTTCGTAAACAATCGTCTTTTCAGAAAATATCGGATTTTCTGGGTTTTACAAACTACACAAAATATTTTCATATCAAACCTGCTTATGAACTCACCAACATTATATATGTTGACCGTTTTTAAAATAACTTGTGTTCTCAGGTAACAGATAAGCTGAAGAAAATTACCAAGTATGTTAGGATGTTATGTTTTGTGACTCTCAAACAATTTATGCTATGGATTATGTAATGTAAACAATGTACTGGATGTGAACAATGACGGTTGTTATGTATTAATGCATGGGCATGTTTATGTTATGTTTCATGTATATTCATTGTGATGATATTTCAATTTAAGTCACACGAGCCCTCGGACATTTCCGCCGTCTGGTTCGGGGGTGTGACAGTCAACAAGTTATAGCAAGTCAAAACAAGTCAAATAGTTGGAACATAAATCATAAATTAAGACTTTGCTTTATAGTTTAGGCTTAGGACCCCACCACCTTAGTGATTTCGGTTGCTTAAGGCCGAAATCACCTCTTAGTGGGTGCTACAAAACCGAAAACACCCAAGAATCCAAACCACTAGGACCGAAAACACTTTGTGGGGGAGTTAGGACTGGAATCACAAAGAGTACAAGGTGATTTCGGTCATGTCTTGGCCGAAACCACCACCTTGATTCATTCCTAATGTGATTTCGGTTTAAGAGAAGTAAAAGATAAGGATATTTTATCAGTTTCTCATGCAATGTTATACCCAACAGTATCCCAAGTATTAACCAGCAGATAACAAAGTAAACATCACCTCATCTCTTTTCCTTTTTATAGACGACAGAAAACCACTCCATACCTCATTCTTCAACTTCTTTCATTTCCCTTCATCCTTTCTCACAAAGAATCAAGCCCAAGCTTCCAAGGATTTAAATCTCCAAGATTATTCTTAGTATTTTGGTAAGTTATTCTTACTAATCTAGTGTTTTAACACACTTTTTCACTAGTCTTATTTTATTTATACATATTATTATGTGTTAAAACGCTTAGGATAATATCTTTTCCAAGGAAGTTCATCCACCACATTCAAGTGTCTAGGCTTGGAAATCTTCACACCGTCTCCTTAAACAAACCACAAAATCCACTCAATGTGAGTTCATACCCCCACATTTTCAAGTTTTTCATGTTTTTAGGGGGGGGGGGTACAAGTAAAACTTTGTTTATCTCACAAATACTTAAATGATTTCATATTTATGTTAAATATAAGATATTATTTGCATAAGATATGGCTATCACTAGCTTTTGTATAATTATTTGTGATATATTAGTTTTAAATGCAAAACTAACCAAACAAACATAATCTATGTTATATCATCATAAGAAAAATTATGACTTGCAAAACTACATGGTTTATGAAGCTTTTTACTAAAATATAGTTTTTCTATAAAAAAAAAAAGGAATACATTCTAGTTATTTCTCTATTTTGTGGGTTACTACCCAAAAATATGATGTTTGACCTTACATTTTGAAAGTAGACAAGATAATTACTATATATTTATATATAAATGATTATATAAATGTTCTTGACAAACAAACATGATAAACTATAATAGGTATAGTTTGGGGAGTCACAAAATTACACTATCATTTCAGAAAACAGACGATTGTTTAAAGGTATAATTATTTTCATACTATGTATCCATTATGGAAGAATAATACTTTTGTTCATAAGGAAACAAATTTTTTGTACAATAGACGTAAACTAGTTGATACAGACTTGGGAGACTTTTGGCTTCACCGTACCTACCAAAGTAGACAACTAAGACCTGCGTTATAACCAGAGTCTCTTGGAAGGAGAGCGTGACACTTGTGTATAGATCTATACGAGATTGACAACCCCGCACCTAAACTGTTAGCTACAGTTAGTCCGGCAGGTCTGGGGTAACAAATGTCGTAAACAGTTCCGACGTCCGAAGCGCGTCGTTTAGTCAACCAGTCGCATTAGTATGGTTATGATAACTCACATTAGAGTATTGACAAAACATTGGGTTTATGGGCTAGCTTACACTCAAATAGATTCACAAAATGATAAATCTTTCTAAATCTATTTTTTTCCAGTACCGTATTACTTACATTTTAGTCTTGGGTTAAGACTTACAACGAGTTTAATATACATTCAAGTAGTTTTATATAAAGATAGAACTTACAAATACTACTTTCAAGTACAACATTACTTACATTTTTGTCTTGGGTCAAGACTTACAATGAGGATAACCTAAATTAAAGTATTTTTATATAAAGATAAAACCTACTAATACTATGTTCCAGTACAACATTACTTACATTTTTAGTCTTTAAAATCAAGACTTACAGCTCATTTACAAAGAAAATATTGGATTTTCTGGTAGTATACACTATCATTTTTATACAAAACAGTTACAAATCTTTCTCATACAAAACACTTATTGTCGCACCCCCAAACCAGAACAGCGGAAACATTCGGGGGCGGAGGACTTAAGGTAAGTATCACAACACATGCATCATAGTAATCAAAGTACAAACAACCATTGTATTTAAAAAGTATAAATATTTACATGTGTTCAATCATTGTATATTGAACCAAAATATAGTTATACAAAAGAAGATATGACTCAACAAAGCTCCATCTTCTCAAAAGCTCGGAGAGTACCTGTGTATTATTTCCCTGAGAATACAAGTAATTTGAAAAGAGAGTATCAACATAAAGTTGAGTGAGTGCATAAATATTTATGTTTGAAAGAGTATCTCTGTATCTTGTATATGTAAACTGTTCCAGAAAATCCTATATTTTCTATTTGTATATGAAAAGTAGTTTTATTCCCATAAAGCCGTTCTCTGTGTATTAATGTTTTGTATTTGTATTACTTATGAAAACTTGTAACTGAGAGTGTGCCTGGCTCCACCAGCTGTTGTTGAAAACTGTATTGAATCTTTGTATTTTGTATTCTGTAAAATAGTACTTTGAAGGTGTACTTTCGTTTAATTATTTATACATTAACGTATTGTTAATATCTTTTTAATGAGTTATTATAACCATACTATGACTGATGGCCTGAAACAAACGCTTTGTGGGCGTTTAAACTGGTGATAACAATTGCCACTCATCTAACTGTAGCTAGCAGCCTGAGTGTGGGGTTGTCAATCCCGATATAGATCTACACACACTTGTTTCGATCCCCGGCTGGAGATTCTGGTTATAATGTCAGGAGGACTTTTCTATGTTGTCTAAAATGAATTAAACAACCTGAATCTAGTGTCTCATAAAAAGCATATAAACGTTACATATATATTAGTTTGAAAACTCAATCATTCTGAAATAATGATTGACAGTATGTCCTTGAATTAGTATTTCCAAACATGTATTTGATAAGTGTAAACCTTGATTTGTTCTGTATCAAAACCCTAGTTTCTTGTGTATTCTAGTATACTTGTATCATGAATTATTGTTCAATGTATAAGTTATACCTATTATAATTTATATGTACTCTCTGATTGTGTATTTAACCATGTTTGCATGTAATCCTTGCTCAGCATGTTACAAGGTAGTTAAACTGATGAAATAACTATTATATTTATATACATATACAATTTTTATATATAAGTAAAATTTAAAACGACACTCGGACAAGTAACCGGTACTTTAAGCCCACATCCAAACAAGGAAAAGGACCCAGAATGAGTTATCAGTCCTAAGCCTTTTAAATCTTATTTATATACATATATTATATATATATATATATATATATATATATATATATATATATATATATATATATATACATAATGAATTTTTTTTGGGAAAAATATAAGATTATAAAAGAGTTTGATTGTTTGAGTATTTTTAGATAATTTAATGTTATTTTATCATGATTTGAATCATGATTTTATAACACAAAGTTCTTGTGTTATGCTTGTATCCCCCCTTTAAAACAGTAGAAATTATGAAAATACGGGGGTATGACTCACTTGATAGATGGTGAACCGGACAGAGTTTCGTTTCACGAAA